CTACACATGTGAAGATTGTAAAAATGGCAAGTATTCTAGAACCTATATCTATGCCATAGAAGCACTATAGGATAAACACTATAGTCATGCTACAGGATAAGCACTGGATTTTGAACTACAAGGTCAGCAGTTTGAGCCCACCAATTGCTCCTCAGGAGAGCAAACCTTTTTGCTCCTGGAAAGATTTGCAGCTTTGGAAACCCTATGCTGAGTTGCAGCGAGTCAGAACCAGCTCAATGACATTTAACCAGCTCCACAACAATAACATAATACTTGCATATGTACATGTTGTTGTTGCTGTTAGGTGCCATCGAGCCGGTACCAACCCATAGCTACCTTATGTACAACAGAACGAAACACTGCCCGATCCTGAGCCAACCTCACTACTGTTGCCAGGCTTGAGTCCATTGATGCTGCCACTTGGCCAATCCATCTTGTTGGGGGTCTTACAGAATATAATAAGACATCTTCATTCTTCGCTCCTAGGATCTGTTGTTGTTGTTGTTGTTAAGTGTCACTGAGTTGGATCTAATTCATAGCAACCCTGTAGAGGGTTTCTGAGGAGTGGCTGGTGGTTTCAAACTGCTGGTTTTTCCATTAGAGGCCCAATACTTAACCCACTGTACCACCAGGGCTCCTCAAATATATACTTGTTATTGTTGTGTGCCATTAAGCAGGTTCCAATTCATAGTGACCCTGTATAGGATTTCCAAAGCTGTACATTTTTGCAGAAGTAGAAAGCCTTATCTTTCTTCCAAGGATTGGCTTGAACCACCAACCCCGAGGTTCGAAGTCCAGTGCTTATCCTCTAAAGCCACCACACTCTAGGGATCTAGGACCTTGAAAAGATGCTCTTCAGCTAAGTGAGAACAAGGAGCTTTTGCCCAAAGCCAATAGCATCTTTGGAACTTTAGGACTTGCCGGATTTCCTTTGAAGACTGTTGCCATGCCTGGACCACTACTCTTTGACCTAGAAAAGTGCTCCAGATCCCTGGGTTGTACTTGACTACTAACCACAAGGTTGGTGATTCAAACCCTCCCAGGGGCACCACAGAAGAAATGCCTGTCTATCTGATACCATAAGAGATTGTTGTTGTTAAGTGCCATTGAGTCAGTTCTGACTCACAAGGATCCTGTATAGAACCCTTTATCTCCAGAGGAGCAACTGGTAGATTCCAACTGTTGGCTTTGTGGTTAGCAGCTTAACCCATTGTGCCACCAGGGCCCCTCTAAAAATTACCCATTGAAAAATCCACGGTGATTGAGTCGATTCTGGCAAATAGTGATCCTATAGGGTCTCCAAGGCTGTCATCTTGGTGTAAGCAGAAAGCCTCCTCTCTCTCATGGTGAGTTCACATGGCCAACCTCTAGATTAGTGACTGAGCACTTAACCACTACATCACTAAGACTCCTTCCATAAGCATGGGATGCTTACTACTCACCCGTGTTTTCATCTTGTTCTCCTACCAAGCGCTTAACGATTGTTCTACGAAAGCTCCTTTCCATAGAGACTACAACCAAGAAAATCTCAGAGAGCAGTTCTGCTCTGTAACACATGGGATCGCCATGAGTCTGAATCATCTCGCTGCCAGTGGGTCTGATCTGGGTTTGGGTGGGTGTCCCAGGAAGAGGAAACAGGATGGAGCTACGGCCTCTCTGGCAGAGAAGGCAGCAGGCCCAGTGGCAGAGCCCGCCTCAGGAATCTCAGGCACAGCACTTCTACCACCAAATGCTTCTGCGTGTTGGAGCAGCCTCCAAGCAGCCTGGCCAAGCCCCGGGGGGACGGAGACATTTGCTTCAGATTGCACCCTGGCCACACTGCCAGCAGGAAAAACAAAGGAAGGATTGAAAGAGGACCCGTGGAGGAACAAGTGCTGACCAGAGGCTCTGGGCAGGGCAGTGGGTGATGGGTAAGAGTCTTGCCGGCTGTTCAAGGACACGTAGCAAACAGGGCCAGCATGCCTGCGTACTTGACCGCGGGGACTATCCCATGCGGAGGTGGTCTCTGCTGTGATCAATCACTCACACTCAGAGTTGTTAAGAATTTTCCCTCTCAGGTCACTTGTGGAGACGAAGCCCTGGTGGGGGTGCTCAGAGCAGCTCCCTGGTCTATAAGTTTAAGAGCTGAGGTGTAGATGACTGCTTCTGGGCCTTCTGGTAACTTGGAACAAGGTTCCAGGCCAAGGTCAAGCCTAAAAACCTGCAACCAAACCAAAGCCTAGTTCAGCGCTGTCAAGTCAATGCCGACTCATAGGGACTCTATAGGAAAGAGTGGACCTACCCCATCTGGTTTCCGAATCGGTGACTAGCTCTAGCAGGGGTTTGAACAGTCAGCCTTTCAGTTAACAGCCAAGTGCTTAACCACTGAACAATCATGACTCCTTGGCCGTGTTCAGATGTAGATGAAAGGGAACAGAACACTTTGGGAGATGCTAACCAGTTCTTCCTCCCCAGGCAGAGTGATGAGTCACATGGGGCAGCTCATCTGCTGTTTCAGAGAACAGCTGGTGTTGTTTGTCCTAGTGATGTCTGTCCTACCTCTGTCCAGCAAGGGAGAGACCTCCAAGCTGGTTGCCCCTAAGCTTCCTTGTATACGGGCCTCTGCCACTTCTCCGTTGTATTATCTTTTATTGTTGTTGAAGAGTGGGTCAGAGTAGAACTAAATCCCGGAGGAATTTCAAAGGCCTATATTTTTGGAAGTAGCTCACCAGGCCTTTCTTCCTAGGTATGCCTGAGTGAACTCAAATCTCCACCCTTTTAGTCAGCAGCCAACCACACTAACTAGTTGCACTCCAACGAGGTCTTCTTGTTGTTATTGTTGTTATGTGCCATCAAGTCGGTTCCGACCCATAGCAACCCTGTATAGGGTTTCCGAGGAGCAGCTGGTGAGCTTGAACCACCAACCTTGCAGTTGAAATGGCTTTGCAGTCTGGTGCATTAACCCTCAGCACCACACCAGGATTCCTAAAGAGGCCTTAGTAAACGTGAAATGAGATTATTAAGTAAACCAACGTTTCAGAGACAAATACACCTTTCTTGCATTCAACGATAGTCACATGTCAGTTCTGCCAGGGGCTTCCAAGGAGGAGGGAAAGGAAGAAGAGAGCTGAGCTACAGGTTAAGAAGACCTAAAACTAACCTCCTTCTCATCCCCAAGGCAGTACAGACTTTCCTCAACTTCCTGTCTGAATGAAGGGAAATCATCCTCATGCCAGGAAGTCCCTATGTCTTCCTATGTGGAAGGCATCTATGCCCTGCTCTGATTCCTAGAGCTGAGGAAATAGGAGAGGGACAGCTGAGCAAGACCCCCTTTCCTAGGGCCTAGGCCTCCCTAAGCAGTTGGACTTGCAGCTGCACTGACACAGTGTCTGGTCAATGACACGTAGGTTTCATGTTCGAGCAGACATAGTGGCCAAAGTCAGTCTTACCCAGAAAGCCCACCAGAGGCTCTGCTTCTGCACTTGGCCTGTGGATGGGGAGTTGGGGCTATCCACAACAGCTTTCTTTCCCAGAAGAGGAAAGGGAGAGGTGGAGAGTGGGGGGCTTGGAGGAGAAGGCAGGCCCACAAGGCTTTTACAACAACTACAGAGAGCTTGGGGGTTAGGGGGATGGGGGGAGGAAAAGAAAATGTCAGAAAACAGCAAGCCACTTAGTTAGACATTATTCAAGTCCAGAAGTCTCAGGTGTTACTGCACAACGTGGGTCATGAAGAGTAGCGAGTTCAAGGTTCTCTGAGGTGAACACAATGGGGCAGGGGAAATCAAGAAGGGAAGAGGCTGTGTTTCAGTGGAGATAAGCCTGGCCTGAGAGGCCTGGGCCCGACAGGGGAATTCTGGTACCATCCTGCACATTTTACCAGGTAGGGTAATGAAGCCTGGTGCTATGCATAACCTTTCAACACTTGTTGGAGTGTTTCACTAGGGAGGTGTTCCTTCACTTGCCCCTGAGTCCTTTCTGCTCTGATCTGAGCCAGGAGACCACCTGTTGCTCCTGCTTCCCTCCTGCCCCGCCCGGACTCAGCAGAGCATCTGTACCAAGGATGGGCAGGTGGACTTTTGTCCAGTTATTCTAGCACCATTTGAGGGAAAGAGGGTTAATGGGCAGTGGATCAGTGTCAGGGAATCTCGGTTGACTGAGTGAGGAAGACTAAGGCTTCCAGGATGCTGATGATGAAGACCATGTGGTTCCAAGTCTAAGATTCCGGGTGGTCCAAACAGGCTGGGACATCAAGTGGACAAACCCTAGACAGCAATAGGTTCCCTGGTCCCCAAGCACAAAGCTGCTCCCAAGCTGTTCTGTCATCTTAGTCCGCAGCCACCTCCCCCAGCCTTGGTGTCCCTAACCAGTGCCTGTCAACCCAGGGCAATTAGGTGTGAGGGACTTGTATCGACACACCAGGAAGAGAAAACTAAGGCCTAGACAGCTAAATGTGAAGGGATGATATGGCACGGATGGGAGACACAAAACAGTGGGAAGAGACTAAGCCTAGAGAAGAAGCTTAGCCTACTTGGAAGCCTAGCAGGCTGGCTAGGAATCCCCGGTGCCCTCACCAGACCAGCGGGCCTGGAGACCAGTGCAGGTGCACAGGGGTAGCCCTGGACTCAGGGCAAGAGGGTATATAGCTCCTCAGGCCCCAGCCAAATACCAGGGCGGCCTGGATCAGGCGCAGCTAACAGAGCATTTGGTCAAATCAAAACCGGGAGACTTCCTGCCCGCTGTCTGGTCATCCCTTGTCTCCTCTAGGACCCCTGCGTCCCGCGCCCTCCCACCCCCAGAGTCCCTTCTTCTGCCCCAACGTCTCTGGGCATCCCAGCTCTTCCTCTCGTGGAGCTGCGCGCGGGACTGCTGCAAAGGGGAAAGTTAGGCAGCGCGCGGTGCCGCGGGGGAAAGCGTTAATGGGCGGCCGGGTGGGAACAGCGGCGCTTGCTCGCCCACGTCACACCCGTGCGGGCTCTGCTGACGACCGCGGCGCCTGGGGACGCCGGCGCGCTCTGCTCGCCAGGTGCGCCGCCTGGAAATGTCTCCATTAGTGGTCGCCTGCTCCCCGCTGGAGCGCGCGCGCGGAGCGGCCGCGCGGAGCCCTCACGGGCGGCCAAGAGTGGTCCGGCGCCACAGCAGGTAGGCGAGGTCCCTGCAGCCGCCCCCATCCCTGGGCTCCAAAACCCCTCCCCCCTGCCGAGGAGGCGGAGGCTCCGCGCTTCCGCCGAGGGGCGCGGGCGACGGCACGGGCTCCCTGGTGCGTCCCGGCTGCGCTCTGCTCACCGCGGCCCGGCGCCGAGCGGCGCGGGCGGGCGCGTTCCCACCGCAGGTAGGAGCTGGCTCGGCTGCGCAAACTTTGCGCGAATCACCCCGGTGCCCGGGGGGACAAAGTTT